AAATGTCTTCCTTTGTCTACCCCAGCGGAGATAGAACCCTTACCCTGGCAGGAAAATACCGAGCCATTCGATGTACAATCGATATCCAGACTCATTTTATATCCNCTTTTTACACTGACATCGCTTGGTTTTATTATTCTCTCCTGAACACATCGCATTGGCTGGAAGTTCACCATGACAAACTAAAATGAATAAATATATAATCAGCTTATAATGTAGGTTTGAGAATGAACAATGATTAAATAGGTAAATACTGTGAGCTGCGAAAATAATTATTTTACCCAATTGTATGTTTATCACGTCATTTTCAGCTTTGATTGTTTCCTTATTATATATTTGTTTCCATGGGTTTGCAGTCTTCACTTATTTAGATGGAAATACACACTACAGTCTTCATTAGCTCAAACTAAAGTCGAAACTTATGATGTAAAAACACCATTTCATTCCCAAGTTTCTTTGCATTCAGAATAACATCTAAGGCTATACTTACCGTTCACATCGTCTTCACAAAGTTCAACGTCAGACTCTACCAAAACAAATGCGACCACAATAACGGCGAAAACACCCAATACTCGAATTGTAAGCATGATTACTGTTTACAAATTATTGTATGAAGTAATGATGAAATGAGTCAGTATTTATAACAAAATAGCTATCTAAACCTAAATAGAGAGTATTCAAAATGACATATGCCAGATCAGCAGGCGAGTCTTTGACACTTTATATATCAACGGTTGTACAGCTGTGATTTGTGAGTTACCAATGATTTGCTAGATGAAAACGCAAGCATAGCAACAAAAGAAGTGTGTAAAGGCAGCGATTTGATTGGGTTGTACGCTAGCAAATACAGATAATCAGATCCCTTGATGACACTCGCAACCAAATTGTTACAATCTTTCTGTCGAGAGCTCTGATTGGCTGTTTCCGTTAACGTACAATCTATTCAAATCGTTGAATGTCTAAAAATTTCGTGATACAATAGTAAGATATTGACATTGTGAAGATATGAAACTATATTCTTGCTGTCATTTTCTATATTTTTATATTTCTGAGTAATAAACTGTAATGGTTTCAAAATTGTTAGAATGTTATCCGACCTCAGACCTTATTTTTCCATCTTCGTCCCCATATGTAATGTAAGACGTAAATTGCTGTCAGTGTAGAGTTATTTTGGTACAAAAATGAAAGAACAGAACATATATCCTCTGTCTCGATTTTAAATATAACACACAACACTGTGATAAAATAAGTAGCTGTATTTAAATACTTAAATTATTACAAGATACAAACGTCTGCACACACAAAGTCTAAATCTAATCTAACGATTTTACCAAAATATATCCC